ATCAAAGCACCCCCTGTGACAGATGGGCATCCATCCTGTGGCATTTCCCATCAGCCTTTCTGCATCTCTCTCTTATGATGGGTAGAGTCAATGCAGAATGAGAGTCGGAGGGGCGCCTTGTCGTTGGGACCTAGAATCAGAAAATACTAGCAACAGCAATCGCAACTGCAATCGCTATAGCCCTTACATTTCTTTTCTCTTTTTTTTTTGTTAACTTAATTTTTTAATAATAATAATAATAATAATAAAAATAATTTTTTATTTATAGCCCGCCCCTCTGCGTGGCAATCGGGGCGGGTTACAACATATTAAAACAAACAGAATTAAAACATTCCCTCATTCCCCAATCCAACCCTCCCATCCCCTATTTTTAAAATTTATTTTAAAATATCGCGTTTACAATAAGAACTATACATTTCATTTTTACACCATGTTCTGTTACTATATATCTCATCAAGGTTAACGCAAATAGTGGAAAATATAAAAAAATAAATGATCTTCCACACTTTCCTTACATTGCAAGTCTCTCTTAGAAAAGCAGCGACTTTTCTGCAGATATTTTGTCTCTTGACGCCCATGGTTCTTCTCTTTGGATTTTCTTTGCGCCATTCCTTAGTTTAATTCCTATTTTAGTTACTTTTGTCTATTATGTGAACGCATCGCAACCTGATTTTACTCCTTTTGTGTCTCTAATTTCCTTTTCCAATACTTTGAGACAATATCTCATTTGTGCTCTGTGGATATGCTATCTTCTTCTCTTAGTTTTTAAGATAATCTGTCTGCGTCTCTCATATCTGATAATTTCCTTAACCATTCTTCTATTTTGGGTACCGACTGTAACTTCCACTTTTGGCTATAGCTTTTACATTTCCATACCACTTTATAGTGCGAAGCCCTGTCTAAGCGGTTTGCAATCTGTAAGCGAACGGCTTCCCAACAAGATGACTATTCATTTTATCAAAGTTTTATCAACCTTTGAAAGGATGGAAGGCTGAGTCCACCTTGGAGCCCTCCTCTAGGATCGAACTCACAATGTTTTGGCTGCAATACCAGGATTTAACCACTGCACCACCAGGGCTCCTAGAATTGGAAGGGTCACCAAAGGCCATCCAGTCCAACCCCATTCTGCCATGCAGGAATACACAGTCAAAACATTTCCTATCCCAGATGGCCATCCAGCCTCTGTCTGAAAACCTCCAGCGAAGGAGACTCCATTGCACTCCAAGTCAGTGCCTTCCGCTGTCAAACAGCTCTTACTCTCAGGAGGTTCTTCCTAAGGTTTAGGTGGGATCTCTTTTTCTGTAGCTTGGATCCACTGCTCCGTCTCCTACCTCTGGAGCTGAAGGAAACAAATTGGCTCCATCGTCAGGACATCATCCCTTCAAATATTTAAAAAGGGCCATCATATCACCTCTTAATCTCCTCTTCTCCAGGCTAAACATCCCCAGCTCCCTAAGTCTCTCCTCATAGAGCTTCATGGTTTCCAGATCCTTCACCATTTTAGTCACTCACCTTTGGACATGGTCATAGTTTTTGAATTGCGGTGCCCAGAACTGGACAAAGCATTCCAGGTGAGTCCTGACCAAAGCAGAATACAGTGGCACTATGACTTCTCTCGATCTAGACTCTATACTTCTACTGATGCAACCTAGAATCGCATTGGCTTTTTTGGCTGCTGCATTACACTGCTGACTCACTTTCAACTTGTGGTCTAGAAATTTATTCCAAAACTGAGTGGGACGGGCTTGAGAATTAAACCTCATTTTTGGCTGCCAGATCTCAGGGTGCTGCCTGAAAGGTCATCTCTGGGCGACAGGCAGGGGTTCAAATTCACCATTTTTCATGGGTCAGCTCCAAGTGAGAGAGAAGGCTGCATGCAACCCACTGGTCAGTCAGAGAGCCTTTTAGCTGGCTATGCAGCATGTGGTAATTTACAGAATTTAATAAATTTGATTGTGTCTTCCTGCATGGCAGAATGGGGTTGGACTGGATGGCCCTTGAGGTCTCTTCCAACCCTATGATTCTATGATTTCTAATAGATTCAAATCAAGTGTTGCAATTTGCAAAGACTGGCATCCTGTAAGCCAGATTTACAACTCCATAACCCTTTTCTTTTTGCATTTACAATAACGGTACCGTTGCCAGGACCGCATGTGCCCCTAAAACCCACCTTAAAAGCCAGGCAGCCAGCTGCACCGTGATGCATGCAGCCCCCTCCTGCCAGGGAAAATGATATGATGACCCTTTTTAAATTGTGATGTGGAGTTGCAACAGGACTCTGCAGGGCTCCTTGCTTCTGTTCCTTGCACTGCGTCTCAATGGCGGAAAGGGGTTGGAGGACCCATCATCCTTCAGAGCTCCCCTCACCAGCACTGCCGAATGAACTCCTTTGCACAGTTCTGCTGTGTACAGTTGCCTGGCTTTTAAGGTGGATTTCAAGGGATCCAGTTGGGAGACGGATCATAGCTACCATCAGTTATGCAGTTGAGTTTCTGCATTTGGGGATATTGCACCTGGAGTGCAAAGGATGAGCCTCACCTTGGGAAAACCTCCTTTGTGATCAAGGTGTCTGCCCTGCTGGGTTTGTTCTTTTAAACCAGTGATTCCCAATCTTTGGTCTTCCAGGTGTTTCGGATTTCAGCTCCCAGAATCCTGAGCCAGGTTGGACAGCAGTAAGGAATTCTGGGAACTGAAGTCTGAAACATCTGGAAGACC